ATCCATCACAGCCATTGACAAGTTACACACACACTGGCACTACAGATGAAGTCATTATTTCAATAGCTAACAATAAAAAAACTTGCAAATTTGTTGTCAGTGAGCTCCTTTACAGCAATAATTTGACACTCCAATAGTGACATCTACTCCATCAATGGTCCATCCTTTCCTACATAGTTCCCAGAAAGAATGGTCTGTAATTTCCTTTCCCACTTCCACATTTCTCATATACTCTAATTAGGTAGGCTTTTAAATATGAAATTATAAACCTAAGGAAATATGTGGTTTTTTAATACTTTACTGAACACATTGCTATATATATTTCAGGCTTTATTTTCAGCAATAAAGCAGGACTGATACAGCTACACCCTCTTTAATTCTATTTTCCTTTCATTTTCAGTGGTTACATTATCCAGAGCTTGATGATGATCATTCTATGCATTTTTTTAAACTTGAGATATGCAACTATCCATAAAGAATATATAATAGTATTTGGAGTTTTATATAATAGTATCTTACTACATGTATCCTACAGCTTGGATTTTTCTTAAAGTTATTTAAGGTTTATCGATTTCCATGCCTGTTACTGTAGATTAACAGATTTATAGCAGGGATCAGCAAAACTTGTCTGTCAAGGACTAGAGAGTAAAAATCTTAAGTTTTGCAGTCATATAGATTTTGTCACAAGAACTCGGCACTGCTGCTGCAATGTAAAGGTGGTCTTTATCCTGAAATAACAGACATGTGACTATGTTCTATAAGACTTAATTTATAAACCCTGAAATTTGAATTTCATATAAGTTCCACATATCACAAAATAGTTTACAATTTTTTATACCATTTTAAAATATAAAATCCATTCTTAGCTTATAAACCATACAAATCAGACAGTGGGCCAATTTGGTCCGTAAGCCATAGTTGCCAAACTCCACTCTATACATTCTGTTACCATGGTGTATTAATTTATTTCCTTATTATTGGACATTAGTGCTGGAATTTCCCCTATGATTTTCTACATAATCAATATATTTTGCTAGTTATTTTGTGGGTAGTTTATAAAAATGTTTATTTTCTATTTTGGGGGGGATGAAATACTACATATCTCTACCTGAACACCTATATCTTAGACAAAACTTGCTAAGATTATTCTTTGCATTTTTTGTATACTTTCCAGTGTCTACTTGATCAATTCATTTCTGATAAAGATATGTTAAAAATCTCTATGATAAAACTGTTACTTTATAGTTCAATTAGCTTTTGCTTTATATATTTCAAAGTTACACAGTCACAGACATACAAGTTGACATTGGTATATCTTTATAATGGATCGTTGCTTTTATTATGATGGAACATTCATAATTAGCCCTTTTGACATTATTTGCCTTAGTTCACTTTTACCTTCTGTTAGTATTGTTCTCAGTGATCTACAGTCCAGTGCCTTTCTTTTCAAGCTTTACATGTGGTAAAATTTTGAGAGTGTCACTTGTAAGCAGAATAGATTGTTTACCACTTTATAGGCAAGTTGAAGCCAGTTCTGGCATGGGGGTTAAAAGTATGTGCCAGACCACCTGGTTCCTGATGTTGGTTCCTCCATTCATCTCTGTGTGACACTGAGCAATTTTCTTAATCTCTCCAGACTTAATTTTAAGTCTGTAACAACATTGAGGATAACATAATAACCTCATTATTAAGTGACTGTGGGAATTCATTGGGACAAAGTTCTTAGAACAGTGCCCAACATGTAGCACACCTAGTAAGTGTTAGCTATTTAAAAATTTAATTATGATTTTTCATGTATTAGGTCTCATTTCTACTGCTGTTTTGTTCTCTCTTTATCATCTTTTTCCTTTGTTTACCATCTCCTTTTATATCAACATCCCCCTTCTATTTCCTTTATTTTTGAATGACCTATACATTTTACATTTATTCTTTTTGGAATCATACTTGAATTTTATGGTTTTATTGAGATATAATTGCTGTACATTTTGATGAGAATATATATATGTGTATATACATAATATATATGTATTCATCAAATTAATCAGCATAATTAACATTTCCATCACCCCTAAATAGACAACTTAGGTTGTCTATTTGGCATCCATTAATTACAGGGTCAAATAATGGCCAAGTTGTTTACATCTCCCCTGTGACCCTGAACCCATGTACTGAACCACCTCCTTATCTAACTCTCACATAGTAAAGGAAATATTTTCCTGCCCTAAAGCAACTCATGTTCAGGTCACACACATGTAGGGACAGTTTATTGCCAAAAGCCCACTAGAATTATCTAAACTGGCCAGTCCTAAGTGTTTGCCCTTCCTGCTCTGCCTTTCCCATAGAAACCCCAATAAATGCTCTGGCTTAGCCTTTTCCTTCCTCTTTCTGCCTCCTGACCAAACCTGTTGCTTCCTTATATGACCTAGTATGACACTGCATACCCCCTTGTCTGGGAGAAAGATCCTTCTTTCTCTGATGTTGGCATCTCTTTGTTGTTACTTAGTCACTTTCATAAATTAAAACTCTGTGGGTACAAATTGATACAACTCTCAAAAAGTTTTCTCAAGTCTCTTTGTAATTTTTCCCTTCGTATCTCTCCTCCCCTACTTTCTAGGCAGGCATCGGTCTGGTTTCTGTCAATACAGATTAATTTATAATCCCTTGAATTTATATAAATAGATTCATATACTACATATCCCTTTTTCTGAATTATTTCATCCAGAAAATTATTTTTGAATTCAGTAATGTTTTGCTTATTTAAATAATTTTCCCTTTTATTTTGCTAGTAATATTCTCTCAAATGGATATTATAATTTGTTGATTCACACATTTGGTGATGGACATTTGAACTATTTTTTATTTATACCTACTATAAAGAAAGTTGCTATGGTCATTCATAGATAAGTTTTCATGTAGACATATGCTTTCATTTGTCTGGTGTAAATAACTAGGACATAAATGTCTGTGTTATATGATAGGTGCCTAGTTAACTTTTAAAGAAAATGTGTAGTTCAAAGTAGGTTGTCCAACTTGACATTCCATAATCAGTGTATGAGAATTCCAGTTGTTTTGCATTCTTACTGATCTTTGGTATGGTTAATCTTAAATTCTAGCCATCTTAGTAGATATGTAGTGATATCTTATTATAATAATACATAATATATGTAATAATTGCCTTAGTTATATCTTTAGAAATAAAAATAGTGTTTTCTATAGTTAATAATTAAAGAGACCTTTAAAAAGTATCCTATTGTGCTCATCAATATTTTTGCTCCCATGTCTTTCCTCAGGGTTCATTTTTCTTCTTGCTGTAATATATCCTTTCATAATTCCCTCAATGAGGTTCTGTGGGAGATCAATTTCCTAGTCTTTATGTATTTTTATTTTGCTCTGTCTTAAATGACAATTTAGCTGGTACTAAGCACCTTAAAGATAGTGTCTTCTAGGGTCTATTGTTACTGATATGAAGTCTATCTTTAGTGGGATATCTGTCTTTTCTTTTTTTGTAGCTATTAAGAATATTTCCTGTTTTCACATTCTGCATTTTTCTTTGCTGTGTCTAATTGTAAATTGATCTGATTTAGTTCTGCTCAGAACAACCAACATGCTCATGATGTAAAAACTTGACTTTGATTTTGCTATTAGTTATTTCTTTTCATAAATATTGCTTCTCTGCCTCTCCTTTCTTTTTTCTCTTTGAAATTCCTACTAGATTGTGAGTTGCTTAATCTGTCTTCTGTTTCCCTCAGCTGTATTATTTTATTTCATTGTCGTATTGCACTTTGGATGAGTTTCTCTGTTCTGCATTTTAAGTGACTAATTACATGTTTAACCACGTACAGTTGAAAGTTTTGAGAAGAAAAATTTAAAACCCCAACCAAGCCTAGTCCAGGGTCCTTCATATAGGAGCCACGCAATAAATATTTACCAATCAAATCAACATAAAATTACCTTACATATTTGATCATTTCATTAGTTACAGATATGCTAGTTCATTAAAAATAAAATATCACCTTTTTATATAAGAAAAAGATACCACATAAACAAATTTGCAACTTAACTTTTAAGGCAGCACATAGCAATATTCTGGGAACAGAAACAGATTTTAAATCTTTATGCAAAGTTAGAATGTTTTTCTTGTTATTTGGCTTTGGGGGTACCTAGGCTTATTCTTCTTTGGAAAATTTTTGGGGATATGGTAGAATCCTTAGGTTATGGAATTTCCAATGGACCCTAAGTTTCAGATTGTTCTAGTATTTGATAATATTCATTATTCTGTATATTGTAACTTTATGATGATAGAACCCTCATCTAGTACAAAGGCAGGAGTGTCTCTGTTTCGCTTCCAGCACTCTATTTCCTGATGCTCAGCATTTTGTGTTGTACAAAGCAGCACACAGAGATGGAGGCAGTCTGTTCCACAAGCAACCTATGCTCTTTTTTTTTAAAGTAAGATTAATTTTTTTTGTTGTTTGTTTAGTTGTCAATGGACCTTTATTTTATTTATATGCAGTGCTGAGAATCAAACCCAGTGCCTTACACATGCTAGGCAAGCGTTCTACCACTGAGCCCCAGCCCCAGCCCCGCTATGCTCTTTTTACTCTTTTTAGTAGGAAGATGTATTGAAAATTTTCTCAGTTTATACATACCAAATGAGAATTGAGATACCTTCCATTTCTTCTAGCTATCATCTGGAGTGTATTTATTAGGTCAGGATTCACAAAGTACCTAAGGAAAGATGTTAGAATCCTTTAAACATGTAAGTATGTTGGGTCACTTGACATAACCAGTTAAACCAGTAAGAGCCCATAAAATGGTTATAGCTGTGGAGTCTAATGATCAGAAAGGGCCATAAGCTGATTTGTGGATGTACTTCCCATGATGAGCCTGACCCTCAACAATATTGTTTCTTCTCTGCAGAGAAGTGGAACCTTTATCAACTCTTTGATTGCAGTGTTGACTATTGGTGGACAACAGCTGTTCTCTTCATTTACTTTCAGATGTCCCTGTCAAGTTGGAAAAAACTTCTATTATGGTTCAGCCTTTCTTGTCATTCCTGCTTTGATCCTTCTGATTGCTGGCTATGCTCTGAGAAACCAAATGTGGACGATTACCAGTGAATACTGTTGCAGCTGTGTCCCCCGCCGCCGGAACATCAGTCCCTTGGAGCGCAGCCTGGCTTGCCTTAGGATATTCAGCATCACAGGGAGGGCGCTTGTTGCACCATTAACATGGCTGGCGGTGACCCTGCTGAAAGGCAATTACTATGAGTGTGCAGCAAGTGAATTTGCATCTGTGGACCATTACCCGGAGTTTCAAAATGTCACTGCCAGCAAACGAGAAGAGATCCTAGCTGGCTTTCCATGTGACAGGTCAACTCCTTCTAATGTGATCCTAGTAAGAGATGAAGTAGCTCTTCAGCACAGGTACCAGTCGCAAGTAAGTTTTTGATTTTTTTTTTTGGCACGCTATTCCATAATTACTATAATACTGGAAACATCTCACATTTCTGCTACTTCTAGTATTGTCTGATTATGGAAAAAAACTAGATTCCATTCATCAAAATGAGTTCCACTGAGCAGTTGCATAGATTGTAATTAGGACATTGTGCTTTGGAGTCAGCAAACTGGGATTTAGTCTTGCTTTGCTATTCATTAGCCTGAAAAAAATTGATTAAGTTATCCATGCTTCACTTTCCTCATTTGTAAAATTGGGGTATTAATAGTATTTACTGCATAGAATTGTTGTGAGGAATATATGAGCAATATATTATATATCTAACATGTAATAAATGATCAATATATCATACATCTAAAATAACATATCTAAAATGCCCCACCCTATGAATTTATATTAAAAATAATGAATTTTATGAATATGGTTAATACTGTATTGTAAATCCCAGCTTGCTGCATGTATGTTCTCACGATCTTGCTTAAAATTACAGGAAGCTTAATTATGATTTAAATATCTCCAATGATGCTTTTAAATTTGGTCACTCCATGGGCAGGTTTGTGTCAAAGGATGGGATGGAGTGGGAGGAAAGCTTGCATCTACTACATTTATAGATTAAATTTTAGAAGTACAATTTTGCATTTTGTCAGGAGGGAAAAAGTCATTGCCTCCCATCAGTCTCTCCAAGGTGTTTGGGAAAAACATACTTTCAAAACACTGTAATACAGTAAAAACATATTTTTAAACCTCTTACTGCAAAGACATATAAGATTTCTTACCTAAAGACTTTCAGTTATTAAAACTGAGGAATGCTAATGCAGTTTAATTGAAAAAGAAACTATAATCAAAACAGACAATACTGAAGTGTTGCAATATGTTTAAGAAAAGTTAAAAATCCCAATAGGTTGTGCTTTGTCTCAATTTGTTTTTTTTTTTACACTAGCCCTAAAAGTCAGGCAGAGAGGAATCTTGTGAAGCTATGTGACAAGTCAAAAAATCAGTAGGATTTTTAAAAAATGTTCTTGCTTAAGAAAAACTAAAATATAATACAGATATTATGGTAAGATTTTCTTAAGGTCAAAATAAAATGCATACACAGATTACTATGAAAAAGGTCATTTTACAGTTCAAAGTACCATTACCAGTAGGTTTTGCTTTCGTGACAACAAAACTTACATATTTTTAGATATTTATCATCTAAAGTACTGTATAAATATTTCATGTCTCCACTTTCTCATCATATTGAGAGGTAGATGATATTAACCCCGTTTTACAAATGAGTTGCTAAATTTCAAAGAGTTTATGTAACTTGCAGATGTTCACAGAGCTAATAAATGGTTGATTAAGATATCCAGAGGTCATGTTGTTTCCATTTCACCAGGTTGCCTTCTGCAACCACCTTGAACTTCATTGTCTTTTGAAGAATATATGTTGCTTTTCAGTTTGAGTTTTCTGAGTTGACTATAAGGTCATATTAAGTTAAAATTCCTTCTTTGTCCATGTCCCATTGTAAAATACCTCTGACATTAGTTTCACCCATTTCAGTCTATCTTCTACACACATGCCAAAAGTATCTTTTAAATGTAAGTTGGATGGTGAGGTCCCTCTCCCTAAAGTCCTTTTTCTATCAGCCTAAGCAGAAATCCAAATTCCTGGCATTACATACAAAGTCCTTCACGACTTCTTCTCCACGACTTCTTCTCCACGACTTCTCCACGACTCCTATGAACCAGTGAATACAAGTTTCTTGTGGTTCTCCCAACTCTTCAGGCTGTTATATTCCTGTCTTCTTTCCTTAAGGATTCTCAACTTCTTGCATCTTGTGAACTTCTTTTATTCTAAGTCTGAATACACTCGTCTGGTAAGTGTTCCTGATGTTCTTCTCCCTAAAACGAATTCAATTCTCTTCTATTGTGCTCCTTCGGTGCCATGTTTACTCATACCAGAAACGATCACATTGTGCTCTCTTTCAGCTTGCTTATTAATCTCTCCTTTTGCGTCTAAAGACTATAAGGAGAATAAATCCCCATTTGAGTCCCCATTACCAAACACCACAGGCTGCATAAGGTAGAAAGTCAAACTGGAGCTTAATAAGTGATAGTTTATGAATTAATGGGCATCTAAGATGACATTTCTGCCACTATGCTGGCCTCTATTCGGTTAAATTGTTACAAATATAAAACTGTAGTTTTTAGCCTCTATAGAGGCTAAAACTTGCACTGTGCCATCCTAGTTACTCCAGGCTTGTAGTCAAATGGCAAGATACAGAAGAGGTCTTCATTGCCCAAACTGGCTGCATACTGTTGTACTGTTGGCTTCCCTAAATGTGGGGAACTTGTCTTTCTTAATTTATTTACAAAGCAATTGTTAAATATTAAAAATAATAATAAAAAGAAAAAAATTATTCCAAGACTAGAAACCATTTATGGTGGTCTTTAAAAGCATGCACTAAATACTAAATAGTCCACTTGAAAATAATAAGGTACTACAAGCTGCAATGACTATACTATCCATAATAAATTTAGAGACTTGAGTTTCCTCACTGTCTTCTTTAGTTGCAAAAGAAGAGAGGAAAGAGCAATACAGGAAAAAATATCAATGAATACTTGTTGGCACATGATTGAAGACATTTTGGGAGGCTACCATTATTGTCTATCATACTATTATTTTTATCACCATCATTACCAAATATTCATTAAGCTCCCAAGGAATGAATGGGCCTGTACCTGATGATTTGAGAAGTAAGGTTGAGCTATAAGCAAAGAACAATGTTTATGTATCTTATGTAACGTTAATTGATGGGTTATGGCGTCTGTGACTTAAAGAATAGTACTTTAGAATCCATTCCATATTAACTGGTCAAATTCCTTTGTAATCTGAAAGCCAAGTTGAAACGACTTGACCTATCCTCTCAGATTCATTTCCACATCCAATGATCAGCTCTTGTTAATGTATTAGAGACTAGAAAAACAAAGTTTTTACCCATATCTAAATTCTCAGTTTTGTAGGAATCCCTCTTGACATGGCTGTTTCTTGAATATTTGATGTATTGATGTTTTCTGTTTTTCTTCCTAATAATTATATGAAGATGCTGGGCTGGATTTTGATCACCTTGGCAACCATTGCTACCGTGGTCTCCTGCTGTCTGGCAAGGTGCTGCTCTCCCCTCACCTCTCTGCAGCTTTACTACTGGACCAACCACCTCCATAATGAGAGAGAGCTTTTTGAACAAGCCGCAAAGGAGCACTCCAGTCTTCTCATTGGGCAGCGCATAAAGAAACTATTTGGCTTCTGTCCTGGGAGTGAAGATGTCAGACACATTCGTATTCCTTCATGTCAGGACTGGAGAGATATTTCAGCACCTGGTCTTCTATGCATGGGTGACACCTCACAGGGGCACTATAGCTTTCTTGGAGACAGGGTGGTTGAGGATAATGAAGACAAACCAGAAGGCATTGAATTAAAACCTTGATAATAGCATCTTTAACAATTCAAGTTATTTAACAGATATTTGACTTTATGATGATGGAGTTTCAATGCAATCTCTTCATCATTTTCTTTCTCCATTTAATATTTGTTGGTAGAAGTTCATCCAAAAATACTATTTCAGAAATCAGTTTGACAATTGTGTCCATCTCTCCCTTTTTAAAATTCATTGATGGTTTGGTAATGCCTACAGTGTCATATTGATCTAATAAAAATATGAAATTTTAAGTCACATCAAAATTTGCCTCTTTTTTCCATTATTTGCTATTTGTGAAAATTTATATTTCTGAGTGGCATTTTTTTCATCTCCACATGTTAGCTACCTCATGCAGCCATTGTGAAGACTAAATGTAATAACATCAGCAATATGTTTACTGCAGCACCTTTCATAAAGTGTTAATAAATTTTAATTTTTCTCTTCCTCTTTAAACTCTGTGTCTTCTATCATTGTTTTCCTTACCTCTAATTTCTGGCTTTCTCTATTTCTACCTTTATATAATATCTAGAAAGTTTCCACTGTCTATTCCTCTTTCTTAAAATCTGAATATCTGACCTATTGGGAAGAACAATAAAATGCCTTGCTAAACTAATAACATGTGAAGAAGGTCTTCAGTCATCCTTCCATAATCAGGAGGAAGTGATGCCTTATGGTATCATCATTAGTATCATACTGTTATTTGTAGCTTACCACATATTCGGAACATTTTAATGGCCTAGACTACATACAAGGATTATTCTAGAAAACTTACTCTCTGTGCTGTACTACAGGGTCTCATCTGTGCCTCTTATTTATCAAATTGCACCTTGCATTAGAAGTCTGTTTGGGAAACCAGGACTACTGTTTGTTCTTGTTTATCCATTACTATAACCCCAAAGGGGAAAATATGTCCCTCCTCTGCCTGCCTTTGCTATGTGATTTCTAGTATTTGACAATTTTCTAATTTATCTTGATTCTTTTTTAATATTTTTATTAGTGCATTATACGTAGTAGTGGGATTCATTATGCCATATTTGTATATGCACACAAGATAATTTGATCACTCTCATTTCCCAGTACTGTCCCTTTCCCTTCCTTCTTCCATCTCCCTCATCTACTCACTCTACTGATCGCCCTATTATTTTTATTCTTATTATTACTTTAGCTTGTACATTGTAATTGCGTGTATATATGTACATATATATGTGGGTATATACACACATATGTGTATATATACACACACACATAGTTGTCAGTGTATATATACATATATATATATATATATATATATATATATATATATATATATATATATATATACAGGACTCATTTTAGTATGTTCATGTATGGACATAACAAAATTTAGTAGATTTTGTTCCCCCAGTACTTCCTTATTCCTATGCCCTCCCCACCTCCCTTCCTCTGGATTCTCTTCATCTACTCTATTGGTTTTCCTTCTATTTTTGTGAGAAATGTCCCCCCACACATTCTCTTTAATTCTGAGCTTTTTTTCCTCTCTCTGGCTAGCTTCCACATATGAGAGAAAACATTTGTCCTTTGATTTTATGAGTCTGGTTTATTAGTTTTATTAGTTTATTGGTTTGCAGGAACTATACCACAATAAAGACTCTCCAATAGGATATTCAATTAAGAGCAAAATCAAACAATGTATGAAGTTTTAGCATACATCATCAGAAAGAAGATTAATAGTAGCTTATATACCTTAATAACAGGAAACTTTGTCTCTATTGGCTTCTGAAGCCCTTTCTTCATAAACTCTTTTGGACTATGACATATGAAGTTTATATTTTGAGCAAGTTAATCATGCTCTTCCATCATAGCTTTCTGGTAAAAGACAATAGGCTTCCTTTGCTTTTTCTAAATGGCTTCAAAGTACTTCATAGAATCTATATGAACATTTAAAGCGTAGGATACATCCTTGTGTGTGCATTATGTTATCCACTTCAAATGAAAGACTTGAATTCCCAGTTGTTTTGCTGTTTTTGTTTTTATCTAGAGTATTCTTTTGTCCCACAGTCAGTTAGGTAAATTTTTTCCATTAGAACATGGTACTTCTTCCCCTTTAAGCTTAGTGGATTTGTGTAATTATGAAACATATAATTAAAATCAATTATGTGCTAATACTACCTAATATTTTGCTACCAAGTGCTTTTGGCTACCACATCAGATTCTGTGGCTTGGCAGATAGAAACTTGCTGACTTCTTAACTTCATCTTTGTCAGCTCCTCCACTTCCCCACCGCAGTCTAAACTGCCCCTTTCCCAGGAACTAAATAAAGCCAATGCTTAGGTATGTTGAATTTAGATTCTTTTCTTTTCCAAAGCTGAATTGTATATAGCATTATAAATTCTATCATCCTCCTTGTTTCTTCCCTCTGTTCTCAATCTCCAACTCTGTCTTTAAAAAATATTCATTTATATTTGTAATAAGAAATACTAGTGTATTTTACCACCTATGCAAAGGGAAAGCACATAAACCATAAACTTTGACGTACCACAACTAACCAAAGGCCTTCTGAACTCATGATTATGTAGATATTTGCTAACTCAAAAACATAAGGTGTAGAGACATAATTTTAGCTTCTAAAAGAGTCTATAAAAATTTAGCTCTAGTCAAGGAAGAACAGATACTGGCAGAATAGGGGAGCAGATAGATGGCTGCTTGAGCTGGGGCAGGGGAGGCAAAAATCCATAAAATGTGACCCCTGGATCAAAGAGCAATAGATAAACCTAAGAGCAATTTCCAGAAAAGCAAAATTAATTATCCGCCAGATTATTTTTTTGAACTAAGCACCAATTTGATTAAGCTTCTCTAGTCTTAGTGTACCAGAAATCTTCAGGAAGAAAACTGATTTCAAGTATGGCTTCCTCTGCTGCCACCCAGTGGTTAGTAGTGTTGTCTGCACCCACATCCATTTGTAAATGGGGATTAACAGGTTGAGCATTCTTAATCCCAAAATTAGAAATCTGAAATGCTCCAAAATCTAAATTTTTTGAGAGCCAACATGATGGATTAGGGATATTAAGCCAGTAAAATATGTGCAAATATTCCAAAATCCAAAAAGAAGTCTGGAGTCTGAAACACTTTTCGTGTCAAGCATTTTGCATAAGGGATATTCAACCTGCAGAAGTAAAAATAATTAAGAGTGCTCATTATATACCAGCTACTATAAAAAGTAGCTATTTATAACAAAGAAGCAAATAGAGTCACTTATCAGAAAATAACTTGCTGAAATGACATTAAATAATGTAAATAATATTAAAAAGTTTTAAAAGTCCTGTACAAATGAAATACTTTCCCACTTACATGACTTTACTAGATAACCGGTGAATGGTGAGTCATAATTGGAATCCAAGCTTACATAACTCCAATAAAGTAATTTCTTCCATTTTATTAATGAGATAATTGAGATGCAGAGAAATCAAACAATGTGCCCAAGATCATTTACCTATAAGTGATGAAGCCTGAATTTAGCCCCAGCAGGCTGACTTCTTACCCAGTACTACATAGCACTGTGCTATAATGTTGCAAAAGTAGCGGTTTATCAACTTTCCAGGGCCTTGCAGTGTTGGGAGGATTTCTCTATAGTCCAATCAATCAATAAACCACCCTGAACCCCAACAAGTCAATGTCATAGCACATTTCACTCTGTCTTTCCACTTGTATTCTTGCATACATAAGGCCTAAACCTCAAGTCACTGTGCTTCTTACCATAGTGACTTTTCCACTCTCACTGGACCATGAACTTTAGACCTTATCTACTCAACAGTCAGTAGCACTGATTTTACTAACTTCAGATGAACCATATACCTGCCCTGGGTTCTTACATGTACTCTTTCTTATGCTGGGCTCAGCAGGGCAACAGTATAATCTGTGAATATGCTTTCAGTCATAGTTATGAAGGGTCAAAATGAGGTTCAGGGAAACATAGTCTCCATTACTCTTATGATCTTATATGAGTCAGTCTCCCTGGAATTTTAATTTCCCCTTGTATGAAACAAGAGAGCATATTAAATTGTGAAAGTGGGTGATTTAAGTATTTTGAGTCACATATCTCTTTGAGGAGCCATTCTGATAAATTATTTTGACAAAATATTCAGCAAAACTGCATACACACAGACACAGGCTCACATACCTCAGAGTTTACAACACTGTGCAAGCTAAACAATGGCCCCTCAAAGATGTCTACATCCTAATTCCTGGAACTTGTAAAGTAATATGGAAGAAGAGACTTTGCAGATGTGATCAAGTTAAGAATTTTGAGATGAGATTATCCCAGTGTACTCATAAAGGTCTTTATAAGAGGGTATAGGAAGAATCAGAGTCAGGGAGAAGGAAAAGTGACAACAGAAGAGTGTTAAGAAGGGTTAGAGTGAAGCAGTTTGAGAAATCAATACTGCTCGCTTTGAGGATGGAATGGGTCATGAGCTAAGGAATGTGGGTAGCTCCTAGAAATGAAGAGGCAAAGAAGTTGACTCTCTCCAAGTGCTTGTAGAAGGAACACAGCCCTGGTGACTGCTGGCAGGTGACACCTGTATTTTAGGCTACTGAGACCTGTGTCAGAACTGTAAGAACCATAAACTGTTCTAGAACTATAAGATAATAAATTTGCATGTTTTAAACCACTAAGTTCGTAGTTATTTGGTGACAGGAAACCTAATGCACATACTGATATGTTACAGTAGCTTATGAATCCACAAGCCTATGGACAAATGATACCCTCTGGATTAAGACCTTTTCAAGGTCATTTCTAGCATGAGCATCCTAAGATTCTATATGTGCTGATGCTCTGTCCTAGGTACAACTGTTGCTCCTAAAATATATGTATATATTCACATATATCTAATATTTTATAAGTAAAATACAATGTGTTCTAATATTTAAGGGTGTTCTAAAGTACAGAAAGAATAGCTGAATATAAAATTTATTTGTATGTATAGGTGTTTCACCTTAAGTTATAAATAAAAAGACCTATATCTAGTTTTCTTCTGTAGTTACTAGTCAGTGGTATACTATAATGAAACTGTATATTATAAGTTATTCCATAATATTTCAGCATTTGGAAATGTGAGAAAGCAAATGCCAAAGCAAAAAACAAAAACAAAACAAAAACCCCCTCCCAAACCTACAATATTTTGTAAAAAGAGGAATCGGGATCTATGTGGCACTTTACTGATTGTATAAATTTCATAAATCAAGAGTAGCTGGCATATTAATGATGAATCTTTGCCTAATATTTTTTCATGTTGAGATTAACTTGAATTTGAGAAAAACATTTACAAAACAAGCATCTTTAATTCAGTAATGACTTAATAGATCCCATGAAATCCTATGGGAAAGGCTTGTATTTTGTGGAGGATAAAAGCAAAAACAAGAAAAATATCCAAGTTATTACAGCTAGAATAATAATTAGTATGCAATTCAGTATTGCTCACCATCAGGGCCTTTGAGTTCCTTCTCTGAAATGTTTTGGGAACCACCTGGGTGAGGTGCCTGGAGCCATCTTGACTGGCTCTGCATTGCTTGGGCTCCTTTAGTCCCTTTCTGGCTATCTAGGCTGTACTTCCACAAGTGCAGGCAAGCCCTGGGTGTTCTCCACATATATGTCCCAAGCCTGCAGGATGGTGGCAGATGACACTGAGCTCCCCAGTTGATCAAGGACATTCCTTACAAGGGAATGGAACTGCTTACTTTAGCACTGCCCATAGGCTGCTTGCCTACTGGGGGCCATATGTGGAAGGCAGTGTGCAGTCAACATTGAAGAAGATTCCATTCTAGGAATGCAATGATTATGGCCTAAAGATATGGTTGGAAGGTGTGTGGTAAAGTTAGCTGACCAGAAAGCTTTGGGTTAGATCTTAATTTGTGCTCGTCAGGAAAACATTCTTGGGGAAACTCACTGGAAGCCAGTATTCAGGAGAAAACCTGATGGGGTTTAATAAGTAATGATGTGATCAGGGATATTAGGTTAGGGATGTGATATTAGGATAATGCAGAAGCAAGAACTATAATTGTTTCAATATAAATGACAAAGTCATAGCATATGTGTAATAACACCACTATTTTTCTTTTAAATAGTAATGAGAGATAAGAAATCAGACAGGAACAGTGCATTTGCAAATAAAGAACATGAAGAGGGCTGGGTTGTGGCTCAGTGGTAGAGCACTCGTCTTGCATATGTGAGGCACTGGATTCTATCCTCAGCACCACATAAAAATAAATATAAAATGAAGGCATGTGTCCAACTACGACTTAAAAAATAAAAAAAAAAAAAAGAACATGAAGAGATGGTTCTTTAACCTCAACAGGAAGAGATGGTAAATGTACACTATGGAGAATTCTCAGAATGACTAAACAAATGTTTATGTACCTTGCCTTATTATAATTTATTCTAAGTCTTCATCAATAAGTTTATTATATCTTACAGAGGCCTATGAATTGTTTCAAAATATTTTCAATTTAATTAACTAAGTGTTTAAATAGACTGAGAGCCCGGTTTTTTCACAAGGCCCATTTGCCCACTGTAAAGTACATCAATTGCTGAAACAACGAATTTTGCAATAATTTATTTTCAAGATGGCGAAGTATAGAGATAGGTGACCCAAGTCTCAAATCTACATCCAAAGGATGGGGTTTGGGGATATTTATGACATAAAGAATCAGGATATTTAAGATATGTGGACAGGTGATTGGAGATGAGATAATTAGGGATGTGCACATGTGTAATCAGCCTTCATAGCTCTTCATAGGAAGTCTGTTCAGAAATTAGTGGCATTAGAATGATCTGAGTATGAAGTTTATGGGGGCCCTGATGTCAAAAGGTCATCAATTGGACACATGCAGGCTCAAGTGAAGAGTTGATGGCTTCAACAAAGATGATCTTTAAGTCCCTGAAAAGTAACTTAGATAACCATTATCACGACCTGTTCAACAGAGATGTAATCCATAGCAAACCTAGTGGAAGGCTAATGATCTATTGCTCAGCTGTGTGATCTCCAAAATTGGTGATGTTTAAAATCAACTAAAAGCAACTAAATCTGAAGCTAGGTTTTCCCTCCAAATGTTTGCCATCTAGATCTTTCATACCTTAGGGGCGACCCTGAGTCACTTTTATCACAGGAAGCCAAAGAATTAATTACTTTAAATGTTTGTTTTAACTCTTAAGTTCATTTTTCTTCTATACATTTTAAGGCATTTGCTTTGTATTTCAGTAGCCCTATTTTCTTTTGCTCCTTTGATTTTTCCTCCTTCCCACCTAGTCCCTTTTAAATCCAAAGCATAAGAGGGTATGTGTGTATGAGAGAGATTAACAATAATACAGTGATGATGATGGTGATGATGATGATAGCAAAGATAAAATTACCAAAGTGTTCTAGGTGAAAGAAAAGAAAAATGTACAAATTTTATTTTTTGTCTGCTCACCTGTTCTTACATGCAAGGTCATGTTGAAAGCATAGTTCACACAAAACTCTTGTGGTCCTTGCTTTGTTTTTGCCCAGAATTGAGATCCCCTTCTGATATATGGCTCAAGAGCATTATCCTGAGGCTACTAGGAGATAAAATATTACACATAAAATATTATTCCTTTTAGCTATGAGACTTTGGGTCAAAGAAATTAACTGTGGTCTTAAAGTTTGATTCCATACAATTGGCTCCAAAATGAACAAGATCTTGAGAAATTATTAGCTCTTACCTCTGCAAAGAAACTTTTAAATCATCTTACACAAAGCCCTCATTTTATAGATGGAGAAGGTGAGACCCAGCGATGTGGTACCTTACCCAAATTCATGTGTTAAAGTAATTGCAAAGATCCAAAACCTGGTTTTACAATCCCTGGTCCAGTGCTTAACATCATACCATTACCCCTCCACTGGGCTTATTCATTCTGAGTGTAAATACTTTTTCTGAGTGACTACTTTGTTTTAGGTACTGGTATATGTGCTAAAATATAGCACCAAATAAAATTTCTGCCTTTGAGGAAAGACTACGAGGGGATGGCTTATGTGGTCACAGAAGGAACATTAGTCCAGTGGAAAGAGTGAGTGCAAAGACCTTTGGAGAGATTATCTTGCATGTCTGAAGTGCAGCAAATAGGTTAGTGTGGCTGGAGCAGAAGTGTAAGTAACAGGTTAAGGTCAGAGAGGAAAGAAGTGTTGCAGGAGAGCATCAGGGAGCCAGATTCTACAGGACCTACATTTGTAAAGATATAGACCTTTAACCCGAGACGTGGGTGAGGTGCAGTTATGAGCAAAGGAGTAATCTCACCTCATGACACTGTAACAAGATCATTCTGGCTGCTGGATTGAGTCAGAGTAGACTGTGAGATAAGGGTGAAAGTGGGGAGATCAGTTAGGCTAGAAGTATTACTGAGATTCCCACCTCCAATCAAAATTTTACATAGTTATTTGTATTTATGACTGCTGAACAGCCTTTGAGATACCTGGGTAAATGAAACATTACCCACATGAATGGTAGGAAAATTAAATTAAACATTAAAAAAGGAATTCTCAATTCTGAGCTTCTAAGAGTAGTGTAAGATCGAGAACTCATAGGCATAGGAAAGCAAAAATAAACACCAAAACAAAATTTAAAGACATAATATTAAAAGATAATTGAGTTTGCATTATCCACAGAAGAAACTAAGATGAATCCAAATGATTAAGGTTACTCTCTTAGGTATACCCTAGAAATTAGTGCTCTGATGCCTAAGGGGTGAAAAATTATTCCCAAGATGTAGGCTCTCTATTCACCTCACAGATTGTTTCTTTTGCTGAGAAAACAAAACAAAACAAAAATACTTTTTAGTTTGAATCCATCCCATTTATTGATTCTTGGTTTTAATTCTTGCACTATAGGAGTCTTATTAAGGAAGTTGGGGCCTAATCCCAGATGATAAACATTAGGGCCTACTTTTTCTTCTATTAGACAGAGTCTCTGGTTTAATTCCTAGGTCCTTGATTCACTTTAAGTTCAGTTTTTGTGTATGGTGAGAGACAGGGGTTTAATTTCACTTTGTTGCATATACATTTCCAGTTTTCCCAGCACCATTTGTTGAAGAGGCTATCTTTTCTCCAATGCATGTTTTTGGCACCTTTGTCTAATACAATAATTGTAATTTTGTGGGTTAGTCTGTGTTCTCTATTCTGTACCATTGGTCTACCAGTCTGTTTTGGTGCCAATACCATGTTATTTTTGTTACTATTGCTCTGTAGTATAAAGTCTAGTATAGTGATGAAAGAACTCAAAAAGAAGCTAAGCACCAAAATAAATAAATAAATAACCCAATCAATTAAATGGGCCAAGACCTGAACAGACACTTCTCAGAAGAGGATATACAATCTATCAAGAAATATATGAAAAAATGTTTATCATCTCTAGCAATTAGAGAAATGCAAATCAAAACTACTCAGATATCATCTCTCTCTAGTCAGAATGGCAGCTATTATGAAGACAAACAATAAGTGTTGACAAGGATGTGGGGAAAAAGGTACACTCACACATTGCTGATAGGACTGCAAATTGATGCAGCCAATATGGAAAGCAGTTTGGAGATTCCTTGGAAAACTGGGAATGGAACCACCATTTGACCCAGCTATCCCTCTCCTTGGTCTATACTCAAAGGACTTAAAAACAGCATACTACAGGGACACGGCCACATTAATGTTTATAGCAGCACAATTCACAACAGCTGAACTGTGGAACTAAACTAGATACCCTTCAGTAGATGAATGGATTAAAAATATGTGGCCTATATACACAATGGAATATTACTCAGCATCATGACATTTGCAGGTAAATGGATGGCATTTGAGAAGATAACACTAAGTGAAGTTAGCCAATCCCAAAAAAACAAATGGCAAATGTTTTCTCTGATATAAGGAAGCTGATTCATAGTGGGGTAGGGAGTGGGAGCATGGGAGGAATGGATGAATTATAGATAGGGCAGAGGGATGGGAGGGGAAGGGAGGGGGCGGGGGGTTAGCAAGGATGGTGGAATGTGTTGGACATCATTATCTAAAGTACATATATGAAGACATGAATTGGTGTGAACATACTTTATATATAACCAGAGATATGAAAAAATGTGCTCCATATGTGTAATAAGAATTGTAATACATTCCACTGTCATTTATTTTAAAAAAATCAATTTTAAAAAAAGGTTAATCTCTTAGGGACATTTTTCTTTAGCAATAAAAAAGAACAGAGAACAGAAATGCTTCAAGGGATATTATATTTTTCAAATCACTAATAAACAACAATTGCATTGTATCTTCTAGTTTATTATGTTTCCAAACACATTTCATGCTATCCAAATGATCCTATAAAGCTTGTAAATGTTTAAGGATGGGCTTCTCACTTCTGGCTTCACAGACCATGATGGTTATTCTCACTATACCATTTGCTTACCTGCACAGCTTGAAACATACTTGTTCCACACCATCTTTAATTATAAATTAAGGGTCAACTTGCCTCTTGAGAATTTGCCATATTTTCAGATAAGGGCTTCTTGTGCTCTGTGAAATGTTTCTCTCATTGACAAATGAAACTAAGGGATCAACTAAGAAAAATTTAATGATGTCTAGGTAGGTATGAGAAGGTAAATATTTGGGGGCATGTTTTTCTTATGGTTTAGGTATAAGGTATCCCCCAAAAGCTCATGTGTCAGACAATGCAAAAAAGTTTAGACGTAAAATGATTGAGTTATGAGCCTTAACCTAATAAGTACATTAATCCAGCTGAATGGATTAACTGGGTGGTAGTCATAGACAATGGCTAAAGGAAGTAGGTCACTGGGGGTGTGCTTTTGGGATATATGTTTTTGTCCTTTTTAAGGGGAGTTCCCCCTCCTTCCTGATTGTCATGTCCTACGCTGTTTTCCTTCTCCATACACTTCTGCCATAATGTTTTGCCTCAACTCAAGCCCAGAGTAATGGAGTCAGTCAGTTGTGGACTAAGACCTCTGAAACCAGGAGCCCCAAGTAAACTTTTCCTTCTCTGAAATTGTTCTTGTCAGATCTTTTGGTCACATCAAAAAACCTGACTAAAACAGTTCTTTTGATTATGCTAGGTCTGGAACTCTCTAAGGAAACTATCTCTAGTATTAAAAACACCACTCTGGAACATTTGGAAAAACAGAGGTTTTACAATGATACGTAACAGGTTTGAAAAGGATGTCTTACCAAATTTGTTAATAAAATAGTAAAATGGTCATCCCATTCATTAGATTAAAACTTAAATGGCAATAGCAACTTTCTTTTTTAATATAAATATTAAATTGGCTGTTTTGCTACGTCTCACCTATTTTGGTAGCTAGTTTGCATTATCAATTAGAAAAAAATTTACTTTGCATTTTTCTTTGATACATGATTCAAAGATGAATTTTCATCTTTTTTTCCAAACATATGCTGTCTTAGTCACTTGTCATTTTGGTTACCAGAACATCATTTTTTCAGTTGTTCTAGCCAAAAACAAACTAGGACTCTTCTCTTATAACTCATGTCAAATCATACAGTTTTATCTTCAAAATATATTTGGAATTTCATCATTACTTTACCACTTCAATTACTGTCACTCTGGTCCAGATTTCCATTGTCTTCTACTTAGGTTACTGCCATAACTGTTCTCTATACTTTCAGATGTGGTCCCCCCAAGAACTCTTACACCATAGAAACTACTGTGGTATTTTTAATCAAACCATTACTCTTTCATTTAAACATCCAATAATCCTATAACAATCTGCAATAATCCTCCTCTTCTCCAAAGTTCACTGGGCTTTCTTCACATTGGCTTCCAACATGCTATGTGGGTTCCCACCTTATGACCTTTGCAATGGATTTTGCCCCGAAGCTCTTTCCTGAAAAGAGACAATTGTAATTCCTCTGAATTAAGGATATCCAGAAAATGAAACATTTTATATATGGAAAGTTATTTTATACATTTTATTTAACTCTCAGTATAGTCAGAAGATTCCTCTGACCCAAGCTTAAATGAATATTTAAAACACGGAATCGGTAGAGATTGTTCTTGAGTATGTTGTTATAAAGTATTCCTCTGTTATAAGTAAGCAATATTTCCCAATTAAAAAAAAATCGAGATGCCTTATTTTTTATGAGACATCATCATTTTAACAAGAGAAAATCTCAGAGCCTTCGTCATTATAGAGTTCTTATTTAAAAAGTGCTCCCCCTACGAGGTAAGTGAAATCAGATTTAATACAGAAAACAATAGGAAAATAAATGTGGAGAAAATCTGTTAACATGTTGGGAGTATTTTCTTACATTTTCCACATTTTTTGCTACACATAATCATGTAATAAAGGAACATAAACACAAACCTGGTTATTTAATATTTCTCTCATAAAAACACCACGCTTATTTCCCCATCCTCTTAGTTTTTGCCATTATGGTTCTCTGACAAATTTCTTTGTGACTGCTGCGCACGCTTGGAGTTGACAATGTTATTCTCATAAGTAACATTACCAAATCAAAGGTTCTTAACATTTTTCAAGGTACAGCAAAATTTTACATTGCATATCAAAACTGTTACTGACGTCTACATTCCTCTTCATCAATTCACAAAAATACATCATCATAGGCATCTTTATTATATGCAAGCCGAGTTCTTCCACAAATTCAAAAATAAGGCCTAACCATATGAACCTAAAGGTCAGATCCCCAGACCCCAGTCGATTTCTCCCTTGGATTCACCTCTACTTACTAAGGCGCTGAGCCTACCCGCCCCCACGCATTAGCAGACCTTCTGCTACTCCGCTTATGGGCCTCCGCAGTGGTCCCAGCCTCTCGCTCAACTCCTGAGGAAGCCCAGCAACTTGAACTTGAACTTGGAGAAGGGCAGAAATGACCTGAACCTCACCAACAGCAGGCTGGGGGTCCGCCTAGCTTCAACAGCAGGTAAATCAGAAACCGTAAAATGACCCAGTTCGCAGACGTCCCCACCTCCCGCCACTGGAGACAGCGCCCGACCCAAAGGTTAAGTGCACCTTCAGCCCCGACTCATCGAGCGAGGTTGCCGCGCTGAGGGCTTCTCAGGCTCAGGCCCTGCAAAGCGCAGAAGCGGCGATAGGTGTCCTTAGTGAATGCCAGACCAGATGCCTCCAAAATCCCAGCAAATGTCGTACAGGCATGGAACAGGCGGCAAATCAGTGCCCCGCTGGCTAGGCCGAATAAGTCGAACGCGGAACTAGGGCTCAGGCGGAGGGCGACGCGGTGTTGTTGCTCAGCAGGTCCGGCCTGGCTTTGGACTGCGTTCCTTCCAGCCCGGGACTCTGCGCCTGCGCCCGCCCCGCAGCCGGCGCGGCCGCGCTTTCAGCTGCTGCGTGCTGCCTGGGGATCCTGGCGACCCATGGGTAGCAGCGAGGGCCACGATGACAGATTACGGCGAGGAGCAACGCAATGAGCTGGAGGCTCTCGAGTCCATCTACCCGGATTCCTTCACAGGTGATTTTCGGGGCCGCGAGCCCACAGCTGCCTCGATGTGGAGTGGGATGGGCAGGAGCCGCCTCAGGCCTAGGTCTCCCTGGCTAGGATGGAGAGGGGACCTTGAGGCCGCGTGGCCACTCAGCCCGCCAAACTAAGTTTTTCAGCCACTTGCCAGTAACTCAATGGTTGTTTCCCCTTCTCCGATTGTTCGCTCAGATCTGAAAAGCGGGGTAACGCTGGTGAAGTCCTTGGAAACTGTCAGGCCTGGAATTGGGTCGGGAGCACGTTGCTTTCTGTGTAACCTGTATCCATCCGAGATTCAGTGAAATACACTAAAAGATACTCCGAATGAGATTAGTTTTTCCAGAGCCGCAAAGGTCTGAGTTTTCACGTACTTACCCCTAACTCGATAGAAGGTGTGTTTCATAGGATGGTGTTTGAAAAATTGTGGGATTCCGAGTGCTCTTCTTAGAGCAACCTAGAATCAGTGTTCAGAGTAGCGTAATCCCTGGAGTTTGTCGACTTTCTTTCTTAAAGAGAAAGAAAACGAAACACAACTCCTCTCCCTGGCATTCTGCAAAATGCCTCATGAATGATGTGGCCCAAATTTCTGTTCCGCTATAGGTTGTTAGGCTGGTACGGATATTAGACATCATCTAGTTTGAGACTTTTGCTACCAGTAAGATAACGGAGGCTCAGGAAAGGAAAGTGGCTTACTTGCTTTGGTACCGCCTGCGAGTTAGTGGCAGGGATGGTACTCAGTATTAGGTCCGGTACTCTGTCCTTTTTCCTCTTCTAGGCTTTGGGGCTTGGGATCCAGTTCCAACAGATACGAAGGAAAGCAGATTACTTATTGGTTGGGCTAAGATAAAATATTAGTGAGAAGTTCATTAGTTATATTGAGAATTCTTACGTATTGAGTCATGCTTCAGTTGATTCTGAAAGTGCGATAAGGTAATTCTATCAGTATAGCTTCTCTCAGATTTGAGAAGTCCAGGTAAGGCCATTATGAATGAGTAGGCATTCCCCATCCTTTCCTTTAAGTGCTGTCTATCATTGATTGTCAGATATCAGAGTGTAAAATATATTACTTGAGGTCATAAACTATAACCCCTCTCTCTTTTATTGTTTAGGTTAGTTTTTTCTTGGTTCCACCCTTTGATCACTACTTGCAATGGTAGCAAATTTTGTTCTGCTTTGCCAACAGGCAGAAGTGTGTCAGCTACCCCAGTATAGCTCCAGTCCTGTTCATGTTGTCTTTCACCAGCAGTACAACTGTGCTGTGAGGATGTTAAGGGGATGAGTGAAGAGGGGTTTGAGAGTGTCATTACCTGGGTGAGTGTGTATGGAGTCTGGCTCCCTTCTCTATCCTTGCTTATATGTCAATGTCTAAATAAAATGGAATACCAGGGTCAGTTGTTGGATATATTCTTAATGTGATGTTTGATGGTTTCCAATACTTTAGACGTATCACAGACATGAGCTCTGTAGGTAGAGGCAAATCAGCATAGGTGTGATATTCTTTTCATTTTTTGGGAGGTGTTAAGGTATCTCTTACTATATATGTGCATATAAATAGTTAGAAAAGTGATATGTTTTTAACTCTAAAATAGTTATGTAAGTATTTCAAATTGTATTATGCCATGACAGCTCTGGTATAGTTCAGTATGTAGAAATTTTGTCAGATACACAAGTGCTTGAGAATTCTGAGCCAGGGTAATAAATGATATTTATGAATTTCTTTGATGCATTCAAGTATTCTATCGTTATCATTTGAGTCTACATCTCTAATTCCTGATAGCATTCCTATAAGTTTTGCAATAAATAAATTAAAATGTCTTGATTTATAGTTCTTAGGGATCTTTGTCTTGTGATTATGTTCTTTATGAAATGTCTTAGGGGAAAGGCAGAGGACTTTGAAATAAAATGTTTCCATGTTTTATCTTTTGAAATTTTGAGAACTTGTAAGATTTGCTGTTTTATATAGCCTTGTTTTGTTTGTTTCCATACTTTTGTATTTTTATGCCAGATTTAAGAAAAAGAGCTTACTTGTGTCAGTTTGTCAAAGAACTAATTCATAGTTTTCTAACTTCATTTTGAATCACAGTTAATATTAGATTTGGTAAATGTTCTTTGCTATTGATGAAGGAAGTAGATACCCACCCCCTCTTTTTTTCTTCCAATGGCTGGTTGAGAGCTAAAGAAAGCAGCATTTGTTAAGTACACACGAGTTTATGTGGATGCTGAAGAGGCACAGTTCTAGTGCATAGACCTACACTAACCTCAGAGTTAACAGGTTTTCTATTTGCAAAGACTTTTTGGTCCAGTGTTGCATTTGTTGTGAATTATAACAAATCATAATACAGTTTCTTCTTTTTGCCTATTCTGTAGCTTGATTGCACATTGATCCAACCCTCCTAACAACTAGTCTTCCAAAATTATAAATGGACTCTCCTGATACCACATTCTCCTTCAGTAGTGCTTCACTTGACAAGGTCCTGCTAAGGTAGTAGAATTTGGTTATTTCCGTTTCTGTATCAAAATCTCTGGATGTGGGGAGTTTTGTTGAAATAAATTGATTGACATCAAGTGAACCAAAAACCAGGTTCCCTTAATTCTGTTTGCCTTGCCAAGAGGTGAACATAATCCTGTATTTGCCCTGTCAATCCTGCATTTAACAGTTAGTATATCTTAGAGCAGGAGTCTCTTGTAAAAGCAGTTTTTCTTAAACATACTTTTGAAAGATTAAATACTCCCTAACAACCAAGGGGACTGATTTTAATATTGGCTTACTAGTTCTTTGTGGAAATCTAAGGTCATTTGTATGTTCTGCTAATATACCTTTTAGCTACTGCCTGTTATCTGTTTTTGGCAAAATCCTTAATTCTCTCCATCTCACCATTATCTGCCTCTATGTCACCTAACATCTCTCCTACCCTTCCGTTATGCCCAACAATCTTTTTTTTTTTCCAAAATTATTTTGATCCACTCACAGTGGTGCAAGTCTGGCATCTGATACTTATCCCAGCTCACAGTAATGTATTAGATTGGGGTATTCCTTCATCAGAATTCAGGATCTCCATCTCTGTTTTTAGTTGCTGCCTTACTTTCACATACTATATTACCCCCTTCCCCATTTTAAAAATTGGTTCAGCTGTGATGGAAAACCCTAAATAACATTAGTTTTTGAAAGTAAAAGTTTATTGCTCTTGCACATAAGACTTATGGCAGGACTAATCCAAAAGTTCCTCAGGGCCGAGGCTTCTTTTGATCCTTTTCTTTGTCATCCCTAAGGTGTGTTCTCACCTTCTTGGCCTAAATTATGGTAGTATTCCCTTTTCAGGTAACAGGACAGATAAAGAAATTAAGCGGGGGTGAAAGCCAGCAGTTTCTTAAGGGAGTTCCTGGAAACTGTCAATGGACATTTCTGTTTTTATCTTGTTAAGTAAAACTGAGTCATTTCATGAGAAATGGGAAATGCAGCTTTTATTCTGGGACTGGTCAATATGCTCAATTAAAAATGGCATATCGAGAATAAGGGGAGAGTCAATATTAGGGGACTATCAGCAGTGTTTCCCAATATTCCTTTTCTTTATTGTACCTGATTCCCATTTTTTCTGTATAGTGACATCTTGATGTAGTGTCCTTGGACAAATCGTATAACTTCTTCAAGCCTATATATCTTTTTAATGGGAAATAATGTAAGTATAAATACTTTATATCCATTAAACAAATATAAGATACTTTTTTCTAGAAATTTACCATCTTAATTGTTGATTCTTTTAATGGTGTGACTTTATAATTCATTGCCTTCATCAACTAACAATTTTGATTTTTATATCCTTCGGTTGCATGTGGCCATGGGCATTCCTTGGCAATACCATCTAAAAATTTTGGCTTCTGAAATTCCTCCTTCTGTCCATAACCTTTGTAGCCCTATAGTTCTTTCACTGTAATGCTTTTAGAACTTCTTGTCATGATTTCTTATGGAATGGTAGTTCAGTTCTCTTTCTGGTCCGTCTTGCCTCCCTGTTCAATCTGGCTCACAAGGTTCACTGATGTTCAGTGATATTCTTGCTCATATACCCATGGCCGTTTGACTTCCTCATTGACCAAATATTTATTTATATACATTTTTAAAGAACTCAGTCTACTAGGGAAACAGACATAATATAAATTTAGGGAAGAAGAGATAGCCTGAATTGTTTGGGAACACTGAAAAGTAATGGAAGAGTTCCATTAACAAGTGAGTGAGACTTGGGGAAGAGTGTTTCAGCAGTGGGCACAGTGTATGCAGAACCAGGACTCAATAGATTATACAAAGGACAAGTGGTTTGGTATTTCTGGGATATAAAGTGAGAAGTGAGAGTCATAGAAAATGAGACTGGACAAATAAGCAGGGTCTAATCACAGAGGGCCTTGTCAGAGATTTAGATATGATCTTATAAGGCAATATAGTTCATTGTCCATTTTTCCCCTGTATAGCTATAAAACTATGTAATACACATTGTAGACATTGCCATATCAAACCCAGATCCTTATAACTGGTGTATTT